CCCCCCCCCCCACCACCAAACAAAAAAAAACAAAAAATCCTACCGAATTAGAAATCGGGCAGATCCCAGAACATTCCTGAACATCAAATCCTCAACTGATTTCCAGTATCTGTAACCTCAAGTTTGTGCCTTTTTGAAATCCTAACAAACAAAACGCCACCTCGCCTGAGCCTCATGCATACAAACACAATCGTCTGAATGATCGAAGAGAGAAAAAATGTAAAAAGTAAAATTACAAAGTTGAAAACGACGTTCCATTAATTCTTACCTTTGATTAATTGACAGGGGAGCAGTTTAACTTCAGGCGTTTTCAGAGTCGATTGTTCTGCGTTACTGCATGTTTGAACATGCAATATAAACAGAGAAAAAAAAGTATCAATCAACGAGCGTCGGTTGGCGAGGATGCCAAAGGCATCGTGACAGTTTACACAGTGCGATTTTTTTTACTATCGATAATAATTTATTGTCACGGATGAAAAAACAGAATGGGAGTACTGACCTTCGGTTAACATCATTCTGGACGCTGTCGTAATGAAAAACTAACAGGGTAACCGTTTCGTTATGGCGTTCCCCCTTTCTGTATTTTTTTTTCAACGGAATGAACACCGACACACAACGAGAAGAGCGGGAGAAGGCGGCAATTTTGCTGAATTTGGCGCTACTTACATTTTAGGGAGGGAGGATGTGTAGAGCCACTGTAGCGGAAGTGACAATCTAGCAATTTTTGAAGTGGCGGGAAATAAGAAATTTATTTAAACCAATGAAGAGTGCATTCCATACCATATACTGGGTGTCGCAAAACTTTGATTTAATCTCTCGGGAAATGAAAGAAGATCGAAAGTTCCTCTTCGACTTCTGAGCCCGGAGATTAACGACTTATTAACCCACCTGAGCTGATTCAATGAGCACCGTCCCGTCGCCCATTTTCAAATTTTTCTTTTTTTAATGAAATGAGAATTAATAAAAATCTGAAAAAATTACAATGCCTATTCTCAACTACATTGAATTTATTGGCAATTTTCATTTCGTTCCCACTAACTCTGATTGAGTCCGAAAAAAGTTTATAGATTTGCTATTCCATTTGCGGTTGCAACTTTATCAATTAATAACTTTTTCACTATGCCCTTGAGCCAAAAATTGAAGAGGATTTTTCAACTCTGAATTTCATCCTCTTTCATTCCCCGAGAGATTAAAGGCGAGTTTTAGAAGACTTTGTGAAAAAAAAGACAGAAAAGTGAAAGAGTTCCAAAATGTGGATTATCATGCTTGTAAATCTGAATATAATTTTTTTTTTTATGTATAAAGTGTTACATGGTGAGAAATTTCATTTTCTACAAGAAGGTCATATAAGAAATGTATAATCAAGTGAGCGGAAGCGAGTGACCGAGGGTTAAAAAAATTCCGTCTCAACCAAAGAGGATTGACTAAAGTAGAGGGTCCAGAGATTCTGGAGGGTCAGACAAAGAGGATAGACCTGAGTAGAGGCCCGGATCGGGGGGTTTGACTGACTCCAAAAATATTAGTTGGTACCCCACGGGAAAGGCGGCGTCCCGTTCGAATTGTCGGTAAATGTGAGTCGGGTGCGTGAGTAACTCGGCAGTAGCAGTTCCGCTGTGAGAAGGACAGGTTTGGAGGGGTATTTTTGTCCTCCTTGTACTCAATGTTTGCTTTATGTTTTTCAGTTGATTTATTCGCCGACTAATTAATATTAAGGGATGAAACAAAGACTGTTCAATGGAGAATTAAATTCCTCATCCATCAACCCCCGTTTCATCCCTTAAT